CTGGCAGCACCTGGGGGGTTTGGGCTGGTTTCCTTCCTTCGGGTCTCCCTGATGGCATTTTTGGGGCAGTTTCCACGCTGGGTGCTGGCGTTGGTTGGTGTCCACTCAGTGGCCGGCCCCGCCGTCGCAGCACTGTGAGCGGTGCTCGTGTCGCGCGGGGAGGCTGCAACACCACTGGAGTGCTATAAAACACCACTGGCGGGCTGTAACATCACCGGCGGGCTATAAAACACCACCAGCGGGCTGCGAGAGCTATGTTAACTCAGCACAAACTCCCAGAAATGTCGGCGGGTGCGTGAGCACTAATTGCACACGTGCTTCTGCCTGCTGCGCTGACGGGGGAAGCCAAACCGGCAGGGCTGAGCCAGCAAGGCACGGCTCGCTGCAGGCTTTGGCCCACCAGGGTAGGGGAGATGAACCAAAGGGGAAACAAGTGCTTGTAGCTGGTTAGAGAAGCATAAATAGAAACAGAACGCAGACTTCCTGAGTTCCAGGCAGTGCTCTCACCCCAAAGAGCATAATTAAATTTTTTAAGTAACCAAACAAACTTCTGCCCAGCCGCCTGCCTTAGCTCTTTACACCCTTCTTCTTGTTGCCAGGTCAGGTCCAACAGCGACAGTGCCGAGCACTCAGCATCTTTCACAGCCAAGCCCCCATTAGAAATTAAGGGTGAGGGAGCAGGGTCTGTCTTCTTAAATAAACAAAATTTAGAAAGCATTAAGAATTACATTAACCCTCTGCTAATTATTATTATTTACACCAATTAGTCGATGTCATCTGGAATCAAATAGCCCACCGCTATGCGAAGTAGGCCCAGAGAAAGAGCCCTGCACATACACATAACAGCAGGTTGATGTTCAGGACGTGTTTCACCAGCGGTTTCTCCTCCAGGGAAGCCACGGGAAGCGGCTCGGGTTTAGTCGGCGCTGCGTTCTCGGTGTTTTCCTGTTTGCGCTCCATCCCGCAGAGCCACAGCAAGGTGGTCATCAGCTTCGAGGTCCCCTTGGCGTTAGCCGTACCTAAAAAAGCAGTCAGTAGTGAGGGGTAAATCTCACCAACAAAACGCATCCCGGGAACGTTTCAGTGTGCTCCTGTACAAAGGGGGTTGATGCAAAACCGCACCAGCGTTCTTTAAATGAACACACTAGCTACGCTGCGGTGTAGGAAGCCCTACAGCGAGCATCCTGGGGGGCTGTAGTACCAATTTCATTTTCCCCTGGAGCTCTGAGCTCGAGTTCTGCTGTTCCCGACATTTAATAAGCAGTAACAGTAGACCAAACCTAGAAGCTCAGCTGTAGCTGCTTGGTGCCCGTCAGCTTCCTTGGGCAAGTGCATGCTCTACTCCATCTAGGCTTACTCCCCGCCAGACACATGTAAATTGAGCTCTCCCAGCTCTGGTGCGGGTTAGGGCGTGGAGGACTGAACTGCTGGGCAGACAGCACTCGTGCACAGCAAACGTGAGACTTCCCAGCATTTGGGAGAGCTGCACGGCAATTCGTTAACTTACTGATCTTTCCAACAGCTTTTTATAGATCAAAGGAATACCCGGCAAAAGCTGCAGGGTTACATCAGCAGTGTCCCGAGCCTGGCAAAAACAAGTGACGATAACCGTCGCTGGAAATGTAGAATGAGTTGCTGCGCATGTTTGTACCTAATACCGACAAGTACAAGTTTTAAAAAATGTAAATCCTCCTTCACTGATCTGTCAAGAACTCCGCCCAGGGCTCTGGGTTCTCCCTGCTGCTAGAGTCGATCAGAAAACATCACTGAAAAACAGAAATGGAATTTCATGAAAATAATTGTGCTTTTCCTCCACCCTCCCCTTTTTCAACCAGTTCTCCTTGCAGCGGGTGCAAGCCGCGCCAGCTTCTGGTGCGGGATAAGGGGCATGGCTCTCTGCATCCCATCCAGCTCCTCCTCGATTTCAAGCATATGTAATGCCATCAAGAGATGGAAAAGAAACTAAACGTCTGCTTAGGTAACACTGCCAGGTAAAAACCTTTTAGCATGCCCCGAAGTTACAGCAATCCAGAGGAAGTAGTTTTAACGTTTCTTTGTCTTCAAAGCCTTTACAGAACGCCTAGGGTTGTTAAGTGTAGGTGTTACTGAATACGGTGTCGGAGCACTTACATTTATTATCATCTGAACTATTTTCAGAAGCAATGCTTATATCAATCTGGAGAGCTGGGCACTCAGCTTCACACACTCCTTTTGCAGCGTCAGGGGAAGGGCTGACTGCTAGGTCTTTCTTGAGTGGCAGATCCCCGCGTGTGAACCAGGTAAGCCGACTTATCTGATGGCATGAAGAGCGGGGTTAAAGAAAGCTGCTGTC